ACTCCTACTCCTACTCCTACTGCTGTTACTACTACTGCTACTACTACTACTACTACCACCACCACCACCACCACCACCACGACTACGACTACGTACTAGTACTGCTGCTGTTTCTTCTTCTGCTACTACAATTACCGCTGCTACCGCTGCAACTGCTACTACTGCTGCTGCTGCTGCTGATGTTGCTGCTGCTGCTGCAGCTGCTGCTGCTGCTGCTGCTGCTACTGCTGCTACTGCTGCTACTGCTGCTACTGCTGCTACTGCTGCTACTGCTTCTCCTCCTCCTACCAGCCTCGCCATGCCGGTGGTGTTTGAAGCTTCTCCATTATCGGGAACCGAAAGTGTGCGAGAGAGTAAAGCGTTTGAACAAGCCCTAACAGCATGAAGGAAAGTTTCATTAAGTAGAATGATTAGTAGATGTATCCCCCTATAGAGTCCTTTTCTATGGCTACAGTTATATACCCAAAACCCCTTCGAGAAGCAAGGGCGCTAGATGAGAGATGAGAGACCCCCTAATCCCTATCCGACACTTCAGACATCCACACCTGACATCCCTTTCTCAACGCGCCTTGTTTCCAGGATGGGTCGATCATACCAACATCAACTGCGTCCCAGGCCTGGGTACGGTTTACGATGGGGTTTAGAGCATGAGACGTTACGCAGGGGCTTATAAACCCTAATGCCCAGAACCTCGGAGGCCTCAAAGGGTGGGGTGAAGGTAGGTGGGATATTCTCCAAATAATAGTCCTTATATAATGGGAGTCTTGATCCTACCTGCCTTCATCCCACCTGTTGGGGCCTCCGAGAACCACAATACCAAACACACTCGAAACCTTTGACATCAATGCCTTAAATTTAGATACCCTAATACGGAATACCTTTTGTCTTGGAGTTGAGGGCAAAGTACGGGGTTAAGACAGCAAATTTTCAGGCCGGAACTTCTGAAAGGCTCTTGCAGCCCTAAACCCTAAACCCTAAGCCCTAAACCCTAAACCCTAAACCCTAAACCTTACACCCGGCCAGTGAAGAGCAGATGGAAGTGGAGGGTAGGGCCCAGTGTGGGGTCTCCGGGACCGGAGAGATGCTGAAGAAGCTTAACTTAACGTTAATGTAGGGGCCTTCATAATTGGAAGAGGGTTTTGGGGCATAGTATATTATAATCGTAATAAGGAACCCCCAACATAATAGCATAGGTAATTATTAAGGCCCCTACTATATATGACCACAGTAGGGATGTACTGTAAAGAATACAGTGTGCTTTCCCTGTTGGGTTGACGTATCGATTTGGATGCCGGGAAGCCCCAACTGATCTCAGTGCCAATTGGTGTGTGCACGAGCAGTCACAAGAATGAGATGGAGAGCTTTAGTGTTTAGGGGGTCTTGAAGGTTTTAGGGGCTTGGGATTATTCAAGCTTTCTGCGGCTTTTTTATGGTTTTCGGCCGGCTGCGAAAAGCTGAGGATTTCGAGGGTGCAGAGGGCAGGCATGCCCCTTAACCCCTAAACCGTGCTGGTAAGCCCCTAAACCCTAAACCCCTAAACCCTAAGCCCTAAACTCAAAGCCACTTCCTTCATCACCTGCCTCTTCCAGGCCAGGGCGCACAGGCGCTGTCCGGCCAGCCGGAGCCGTTCCACAGCTCCCCGGCCGGAACCCGATAGTATCTTGAGGGTACCTTGTTTTAGTTAGAGTATATTCTTATACACCCAAAAGCTTATTCTAGTTATCCTTATTCTATTTACGAAGGCTCCTATGTTAAGCCACAGGGGCCATGGATAGTGGTTCCTAGAAGTGGGATGACAACTGGCCTGATTGGTTCAGGGCTCTTGTCAGCTCTTGTCTGCAGTTGGGTTACCCTAAACCCTAAATTCTAAACCCTAAACCCTAAACCCTAGACCCTAGACTGTTGGGTTTCTTGAATAGCAGCCCCATTGGGCTTCTAGGAGCTGTCTCGGGTGTGCAGGACAACTGTTTTGGGGTGTTAGGCGGTCTTTAGAAATGGTCCCACTAAAGGATATGCAAGACCAACCATGCGTCCTTAATATAGACTGTTCTAGATTCTAGGGTACCTTTCACAGCTCTCTGCTTGAAGGTTCATGGGTAGTTATAAGTGGGGTTATAAGTAAGGTAACGATAGTTATAACCCATAATAAGGGACTTGTAGCCATACTTATAACTACCCAGGAACCTCCAAGCAGGAGAGCGCAAACTTGGGTTGCCTGACAGCAACTGTTTTACCTGCAACTTGGCCATGCCAAGGGCCCCGCATTGCGAAAACAAATCTGGAGTCGGTTTAGGGTTTAGGGTTTAGGGGATTCTACTAGTGGTGCCCATGAAGTTGCCGTTTTCTTAACAAGCCCTTGAATCCTTGAGCCGCACTTATCTTCGGTGAGGTGCTCCGCGCCCCTTCAGTGAAAGCATGCGCAACGGCTTCTGTGATTGAGGGTTTAGAGTCTTAGAGTTTAGGCGGCTCAGGTTATGCTGCGGTGAAAGTGAGGAACTCCACGAACTAAACCCTAAACCCCTAAGCCCTACTGCAGCTTAGCCGGGAAGCAAGGAAGTTTTCCAGGTTTATGAAACTTTGTCAGGATCCACGATCAGGCAGCAGGTCGGGGCTTTTGAAGAGGTTTTTTTGGTTCCGGTGTTCTGCAAGCCTTTCCAGAAGGCAGGTTAGGGTTTCGTGTGTCGCGTTTTTTGCGGTTCGCAGCATTCTCCCCTTTTTCCTGAGGTTCAATGCATCCGCTGGATTGCCTGAAGGCTTGTGAAGATATCCCTGATTGCCAGGCCTGCGGTGCTACACCTGGAGCTTTTTTTTGGAGGGTTAAAAAAAGCAAAGCATTGGCGGGCTTAGGCTTAGTTAGTCATTAGGTTGTAAGTCTTCTTATTGCTAAGGTGCTTTATAGCCCTACTTATAACCTTCTTACTGCGCTCATGCTGGGTGATGTGCTTCTTCCATCACAGCGGTTCCTGTGATTCTGCCCTTGGTCTCTGATAGGAACCGTTAGAGAGTCCAGGCTTTGATTTTTGTCCCTTGGGTACTTGGGGCACTCCAGAGCTCAATTCCGAGCCTGCTCTTCCATGTCATTTGGGGGTTTCCGCGTATCTCCCTCCTGGTTGCTGTGGATGCTTCCTAGCGCAGCTGATGCTGGCGGTGATGGTGGTGAGGGCCGGCCACAGGGGTGCTTTTTTGCTTCTGTAGTCATAGTGCTTTCTACCGATATTGTCATCTTCGAGCCTCCCGGCCCACCCTCCCCCCCTTCCTCCCTTGTGCTTGGCTCTCCAGCCGTTCCGTTCCAAACTTCGAAACCCATTCTTTATGCGCTGCCCATTGATGAAACGCTTTGGGCTGCATTGTTGCTGGATTTGTTGAGTTGCCGACATTGATGCTGTTGATGCTGACACTGTTACACTTTTCTTGCATCCTGTTTGTCTGCTCCTTGCTGCTGACGATTTGCCATTCCTAGTCCTCGGAATGCTAGTGGCTTGATGCTGTAACACCATTGCCCCCCAACCGAAACCCAGAACTCTGCACCCTACAGGGGTTCGCTTTAGCTTCGCTGCTTTGCCATGGAGTGGTGCCTCGAAACTCTGAGACCCTGACTAGGACGACGTGCTTTCGCCCCTCATTCCCTGCACAGGTGGTGACATGATCGCCATGTAAGGGTTTTAGAGTTGCCTCATAGTGCTCTTAAGTTGCCTTACTTGTCGAGCCTTCCACCCCTTCCCTCACCGTAAAACCTCAAGAACCGTATATGAGAAGCGCCCTCGAGGCTGTGGTCGTCCTCGAAAGTTATGACCCAAGCCCTTGCTTCCTGCGCACACAGGTGGGAGGGGTGGTCTTTAGGGGGAGCTCATCCGCGGGAAGTCACTATGAGCAGGGTTAGAGTACCTCAGATGGAGCTATGGCAGCCTTACTGTCGATTGCAAGAGGGGGCCTTTTACGATAAGCAAGGCCAGCCCTGGGGGTTCCTTTACTATTTTAAGAATGGTATAAAGAAGTTCCAATTCACGCATACAACCTGAACCTTCAGGTCGACCTCGGCAGTTGCTTCCCAGCACCTGGCTTCAGCCTCTGGGCCAAGCCAGGAACCGTGACCACGATCACCACCACCACCACCACCATCACCACCACCACAACTACCACGCTTCCCACAACCACAGCAACTACATCCGTCCAAGCGAGCACGACGACAAAGACCCAGGACGCAAGAAACACCACCATGAACCGCACGGCCCCAAATGCCACACCAGCAAGAAGCATCAGGAAGCCAGCGAAAGGCCCAGAGGCCAGAAATGCCACTGTGAACAGCACAGAGCCAACCGCCACACGGGCAAAAATCAATGGGAAGCGGGCCATTGGCCAGGAGACCAGAAACGCGACTCTGAACCACACCATAGCAAATACCACCGTGTCAACAAGCCCAGGGAAGCCGGCCAAAGCTCCGAACACCACAGAACACACAAGAAGAGCCACAACAACACCCACTCTGGCAGCGACCGTCACCACTGCCCTCGCCAACCACTCGAAGCCGGCGACAGTCTCGGAGACCACTACGGTCACCACGCAGACAAGCACTACCTTGGAGACAACGACCATTACCACCAGCCCGGCGGCCGATCCTTTGCCCGAGCTGCCCGCGGTGGCCACCAGACGACTGGATGAGGCCTGCTGCGGGTTTTCTGCAGGATCCTGCTACAAATGGGCATCTAGAGTCTCTAGAGAGTCGAGAGCCGATTGCCATGCAGTAGCCGCTCAGTAGCCCAGCTTTCGGTTAGACCTGCAAAGCGTGGCCTTAACCCCAGAGCCCTGACGATGCAGGCACCGCGAGGGTTCTTGCATTGAGGCCGAGCAGACGAGGACCACAGCCAGGCATCACGAATTAATTACCTATGCTATTTTGGGGGATCCTTATTACGATTAGAGTAAAGTATACCCCAAAACCCCGTTCTCATTATTAAGGCCCCTACATGCCAGCGCAGGGAAACAAGGCCAAGGTGGCGTGGAGCATTTTGGACAGAGCACGGCCCAGCTGGCCCTACGGCCCTATGCAAAACCATAAGAAAGCCCCAGGCGAGAGTGATTGCTGAAGAAAGCCCCAGGCCTTAAAACCCTGCTTCGAGGTTCATGGGTAGTAACAAGTAGGGTTATAAATAAGGTAACTGTGGTTACAACCTATATGAGGGGACCTATAACTCCAGGTATCATTACCCATGAACCTCCAAGCACTGGAGCCCTGAAACCCTGGACCTGCCAGAGGACTAAAACCGCAGAACCTCCATCTCAACGTTTTTGGCTTCTCGGCTGCATCGGCGTTTCGGAGCTCCTTAAGCTGACCGACGTCAAAGTGAGGTGATCTCTGAAGAAGGGCTTAAATCAGGGATTTGGTGACTGGATAGAGTGGCTTGAAGGGTGTTGGTGACTATGTGTTGTAGGCATTGTGATGAGGGTGCTAGTTGGCAAGATCCCTATGGTAGTTTCAGAAACTAAGGTGCCAAAATATCGAACTCCAGTGGTAGAATCTGTATCAGAAGTTTCCGCTTCAGAACCGGCCTAGATTTCCAGAAACACCAACGTGCATGTTATAAGGCCCGGGCGAGGAGTAGCGTGGGTAGCGTGCGTAGCATGAAGCTGCTAAGCCCAAGCCCTTGTGAGCATAGTAAACCCATAGCCCCTAAAAAGGACGTATCCCTCAACCCTCAACCCTAAACTCATAAAAACCCACAAAAGCCTGAAAAAGGACTTATGACATAAGGCCCCTTTAACCAGGGGACACTCCGACCCCTGTTTTTTTAAGAAGCCCTCGGGAGCCCTCGTAAAGCCTTGGTAAAAGCCCTCATGAAACCCAAAAAGGCCTCGCTAAGAAAGCGCCCCATAGAACACCCCGGGTATGAAACACTAGAAGCCCACAACCCCCCTCCTGTAAGGGACCTAGGCTTCAAGGTTCGGATAGGGCCTGTTTGACTGGTTCAGGGTTGGAGGGCTCAGGGCTCGGGTTGGTTTGGGGTTTTCAGTTGGGTTGGAGGGGCAGGCCTACTTACAAAAAAAGTTGGGTAGAGAACTGCTAGCTTTGCTAAGCCTATGTGATCTAGGCTTACACTGATGTACCAGGGAAACCGGATGCATACAGCCGGTTCGAAGTTCAGGGGAACCTGGCCTTTCTCCCCAGACTACAGATTTCGAGGATCCATCTCAGATCCTTGTAGTCTGAAAGCCTCGGCCCTGCGGTCGCCTTCGCCTTGGGCAGTTTTAGAGGCCGAAACCCCCTTTTTTTCCGAAGAAATGACCGTCTTCTCTAAGAGGCCTAAGCTCTAGGAGTCCTAGACCCTAAAACAAGAAGGGAAAGGGACGAGGCCGGCTTTTGGCGTGTTGTCTCACATGACTCTCCCAGCGACTCTTCCCGCCCCTCTTAGGGAGGCCATTGTGTGTGGAGTTTAGTAGCGTTTGAAGCAATTACAGGGGTTTGAAAGCGGGGTTTCGGGGGAAAGGAGATGGCGGCCTTGGGCTCAGAGCTTTCATTGTGCTGCAGGTTGCGAGCAGTAGCAGTAACAGTAGCGATGGCAGCAGCCGTAGCAGCAGCGGTAATGGTAGTGGGAGCAGTCGCAGGAACAGTAGCAGCAGTAGTTGTCGTCGCCGCCGTCATCGTAGTTGTGGTGGTGGTGGTGGTTGGCCGTATGTCTGCGTTGCTTCCATAAACGCCACATTGTAAGTGCTTCCAGCTTGCCGTGAAGTTTCGAGCGCACTCCAAGTCTCGCGCGATGGAGACTGGAGTTGTCCAGGCAGGGTCCAAATTCGGAATCCGATTCAATTTTTCTTGTAGGGCTCATGACGGTGATAGTGATGGTGATGATGAAGTTGGTTCATGATGATGGTGATGATGATGGTCGCAACGACGATCAAAATGATGATGATGATGATGGCCTTATCGGGTTGAACAAGGGCCTAAGGTTTGTGGACTCATGAAGAAGCGACACAAGATCGTATTGGGACCCACCCTCTATAGGATGTTTGTGGGGAAGCTACGCAATGCGTGGGCTTGAATCTATGCTCTGCGTGGGCTTCGGTTTATTGTTTAGGGTCGACCAAAGGTGGAGGCATACTTGTAGAAATCACGTTATGGAAACTATAGCCCTGAAGCTGCGCACAGGGACCGGACCTGACCAACCGGACTAAGGGGCGTGGACTGACAGTCTGAAACAGAGTGACAAGTGCATTCACAAAACAGGGGAAGCCTCTCACTGTCCCGGTGCGACTAGTGGTGCATGAAAGTTTCAGACAGGGCATCACTCACTGTATCGAAGCTAGTTTATACTCGTATATGAAGAGTGGTCAAAGAGGCCTCCAACCAACCAGGAGGGCGAACCTCGTGCTGTGGCTTCCGAGAGAAACGCCCGGCGCTGAGCAGGAAAAAACACCCCTAAAGAGAAAAGGCCTCCAGCAAGAAAAGCTCCCCAGACCTCCCCAACAAAGCCGCTGAACCAAAACAACAAAGCAGAGAAAGAAGAATGCAACAGAGCCACAAGAGAGGTCGACCCTGCCCAGCCGCCTGTTGAACCCGAGTGGGCCGGCGAGTGGCTGCGCCTTGCGCGCCGGCGCCTGGCCGGCGGCAGAGCTGAGGCTGTGGACCCTTTTTAATGTAGGAGCCTAAATCATTACCAACACTATTTTGGGGTATAGATATAGTATCATGGGCCCCAAAACCCTATTCTAATAATTAAGAGTAGTGCTTTTGCTTTTGGGGGCTGTGGTGTCGCAGAGCTGAGGCGATCGCCTCAGCGCACGGTTTCTGCGCGGCTTTCGTAAGCAGGTTTAGTCTGTTTGCTTCTGGGGGTTGTGGTGGCGATCATAGGCATCTCCAGAAGCTGTGCTTTGTGCTTGCCGTCTAAAGGGGGGTGGAGTGTACTGTAATTAGTGCCATGATGAATAGATCCAGTTTGTTAAAGGGCATGAGCATGAGGGTCCCCATTATGTTGCTTGGGGCTTACACAACCAGGAGTCAACGCTTCCTAGTGTTCAGTTTTGTTGTCACTTCAAGATAAGTTCTGAAAGGCTGGGGCGCAGTCCTTGCCGAAGGTTCCGGAAGAGTGGCGGATAAGCTTAGGGGAAGTTAGCCTATAACCTCTCTGGTCATTTGGGTTCAGCTTCACCAACACCTACATCAACCTCAACAGCAGCAAACCTCAGCACCGACAGTACCAACAACAACAAAACGGTCAGCATCACCTTCATCACCATCCTTATCATCCTTCTCCGCAACATCATCCTCATCGTCCTAGTTCTAGTTAGTTCTGCATGGGAAAGGTCGCAGCGAAGGCGGCCGGTGTTGCAATGCAGCTGCAGCCGGCCCTGGCCGGGGAAGCGGAGGAGGTCCTTGCCCAGGCTCCCCGAGTTTCGGCGTTTGGGTCCTAAGGTGTTCTTTCAGGTTTCAGTGAAAAGGGTTTTGTGGGACAGTGGCAGCCAAGACCACTCCCTCTTGAGCATTGTGAGTTTCCTCGTAGCAGTAGCAGAAGGCTGAGCTTCTCAAGCCTTTCGGTTGCCGTTTGTAGCCTGAGTTTCACGTGGCGCGGTGTGTGACGGTGCTTGTGTCCAGGCGATGGGGACCAAGTTTCAGTCGGTGGAGATGCTGGGATTTCGTTGTGGAACTTAGTTTAAGTTGCCACGATGCGTATATAGATAGGTAAGTAGATGAATAGGTGAATAGATAGATAAATGGATAATAGATGGATAATAGATGGATAGATAGATAGATAGATAGATAGATACCTAAGGGAAGCTCCCTATGAGAATCCAGGATGGATGACCTTGGCTCATTGCTGCTGGAAACCTGGATCGAGAGTGTCTTAGCGGCAGAAAAACCGTGAGGTAGCGATGCTCGCCTTTTCAGCTCGATGCTCGCCTTTTCAGCTCGTCAGGTTCGCATAGTTTAGGATTTGCTTCAAGGTTTAACCGGTTTGCATTCGGGAAGCAAAGTGCCGAAGGAGCTGAGCATAAAGTCGGCAAGCACCCCTTACCTCCGAAACCCCAAGCCCCACATCGTGGAGCATTGCCTGCCTGGTCCGAGAGTGAGAGTCGAAAGCCCCCTGAGCTTTTTGTCGTTTTTTTTGCGGGTGGTGCATGGACCTCGAATGTATTTAGGGGACCTAGTGTGCTATGAAGAATCGAAGATCGTAATGAAAAATCTCAGGTGTCGAGGAAGCTGGAGCCCTCTACACCGGGGGAGCTTTGTGGAAGGCTGGCCTGGGCTTGGCACGCCATCTTCCGGCCATGGCAAACACCGATCCTGGGGTTCCGCAGTACCGTCATGGAATGAATATATGTGTGTGTATATATATATATGTATGTATGTATGTATGTATGTATGTATGTATGTATGTATATATATATATACACACACACTTGGTTTTGTTTGGTTTTGTTTTTGGGTTTTTCCTGTTCCTGAAAAAAGGAGCCATTATAACTAACATGAAAGTTTATGCAGTCCTCTCCCAGGTTACTTCAAAGTCCAGTGGAGTCGGGGTTCTGTAGCGAGGGTTTTTGGGGTTTCTTTGTAGGGGGTTCCCATGAGAACTCTGGGTTCCACAGCTACGGTGTTCAGGGTTCCTGTTGCGGCTTCAGGGTTCCTGTTACGGCTTCCTGTAAGGATTCTGGCCTCCATTAGAATAATTAAGGCTTCGGGTTCCTTAGTATACTTCTACGATTGCAGGGTACAGCTGAAGGGTGGGGGGTGCTACCAGAGGCGGGTTCTAGTCTAGGGTGCGAGTATTTTTATAAGATGCTATTGTTGATGATATAAATCCTGCGTGACGTTAAGGACCCTAAACTATGGGAGTTAGGGTATATTCCTTGTTATGGGAAATGCAGGATTTATATCATCAGCCGTATCATAGACAGTCTCGCACTTGGGGTGTTATGGGAGTGGGATTCTGGGCGCCATTAGAGGCCAGGCTCCTTTTAAGGGAGACTCGGAAGGGTTCTAAGAAGGGCCCTACAAGGATTCCAAGAGTCCAGAGGAGGTGAGAGCGAAACGGGTGTAGTAGGGTTGATTTTGCGGGTTCTGGGTTCCAACAGCACGACAAGCCTATTATTGATATTGGGGTTGGGGGTTCTTCTTATGACTGTCCCTTAGTACATGGGATCTGGGTTCCAGGAGTGGTGGGCGAATTTAAGAGTTGCGGTTTCCCTTTCAGGGTTCCATAACATAAGGGTTCTAGAAGGATTCTGAGTTGCATATTACTTTGGGTTTGGAGTTTAAGGTTCAGCGCTCTCAAGGGGGTTTTGCGGCGTAAGGTCTACTTACGATGTACCCCCCCCCCCATCATGGAAAGTGAAGCCCTTATTCCCCAAACCGGAAACCCTAGAATCGTTGAAACTGCCGATTGAAGGAACTTAAGATTACGGTCTGTGGCAGGAACCCTATGCAAACCTTCCTGTGCAAACCTTGCTTGAAAAAAAAAAGGACCTCATGGAGTCGACCTGAAGTCAGCTCCTCAACGCTAGCTAGCCCAGGAATTCCCTGGGCATCGAATTCTGGAACTTGGCAGTGGCACAGGCGTTGCCGGCTTGGCAGCGGCCGCTTGTGGTGCTCATGTTGTGCCTGTGGGCTTGAATGGATGAAGCAGTTTTTTTACGGGGAACTCGCAAAGCCAGGTGGGTGCGCGCATAGAAATTGCTAGTACAGTGCTTTGAGTTTGGATGGCAACAAATGAGTTCTGCTTGGCCGAAAATTCAGAAGTAACGCGACTCGCATCTCGCACTTAGCAGTGTTTGAGTGCACTCCCAAACTTATTCTTGCTCACTAGTGTCTGAAATTCTTTGTCTTGCTCCCTTAAAATCACCTTTCCACAGATGGTATGTTTCTTAGATTTACGGGTGCCAGTACCTGGTTTGGTGTCAAGGTGCTGAGCGATTTGCCAGCAGCCACAGCATTGTTGGAGAGGAACGTGGAATTAAATCGGCATGTCTTCCAGTCAAGGGGCTCAGCCAGCGTGAAGACGCTGGACTACCGGGAAGCTTTGACTGATCCCTACTGGCATGATTTCGACCTGGTCCTAGGTACCGACCTTGTTTGGCTGAAAGAACAATGCCTACCTGTAGCACAGTGGTGCCAAGCCTGTGGTGCACCAATCTTCCTGGTGAGTGTTCCCCGCTGGCCTTGGCTGGAAGATGGACTTCTGGCGTCCTTCAGAGCAGTTGGTATGATTCCTCATGCGCTGAGCAACGGTGTCCTGCCCGGGCTGATCGCGCTGCTCTTCTTGCCCGCAGGCCGTTGTCCTGCCGATTCCGTGCCATGGATTGCAGCTCATTGGGACGAGCTTGCCGCTGAACATCAGGGAGCTCCGAGGTGACGGAAAAAATCTCGCGCCGACATGCACACCTGTGCATTTAAGCTGTCGAAGCGTCGGACAGCGTCTTCATGGCAGGCACCTACGAAGTGCCGGACCTCTCAAACCCACATGTCGTAAGACCTTCAGTCGTGTAGCAAAAAAATTCCGACCCACGCTGACCTCAATTCCTCAGGCCGGGCTGAGCTCCAATCATATTGGGGACGCCTCCATAGTTCAAGATCCCATCTCTGATCCAAGGGTCTCAGGCTTTTTTGGTAGACCCTTGAAGCCCAAGCCCGTGCGAAACTGCTACGGTATGACATGCTTGTGCACCTCAAATATTTCGTATGTATATGTAGTACATATGCATACATACAAAGACAAACATATGTCTATGCATATATATATATACATATATACACACATACACACATACATACATGCATGTACAGATAATCCGCATACCTCCACACAAAATTGTTCTACAGCCCGTGTTTATGAAGCCTACATTACCCTTCCTTTTGCAACCCTTACACAACCTCACGAAACAACTGCTGCCAAGGCTTGGCCTCGCTTGAGAAGCAGTTTTTCAGTTTTGCAGCATGAGATCATGCCCTGTAGCTCGGAGGCTGGAGCTAGCTGGCCACAGTGCGTGCGGTTGTAGGGTTTGGACTTCAGGGTTTCGACTTTCTGGCATTGCAGTAGCTCAGATGGCTTAGGGTCAAAGAGGGTGAGGGTTGCATAGGCGCTGGCCGGCAACACAGCCCGTGCTGAAAAAGGGTTAGGGCTAAGGCCAGGGTGTAGACATTAAGGTTTTAGGGTTGGGGACGATGCAACATCAAACCAGACTAGATGAAATGTCGGTGGTCAAGCAACTCAGCAGCTCATTCGCTCCCTCGAGCCTCCTCAACCCCAACCCCAAACCCCTTACCCCTTGATTTTCGCCAGCTGGCTCCGAGCCTTTCGCAATTCAGGCGCCAGCGGGGCCCTGGTTGCTAGCCTACTTGGAGGTTCATGGGTAGGTATAAGTAGGGTTATAAGTAGGGTAGCTATAATTATAACCTATATAAGGGGACTTATACCCCCACTTATAACTACCCACGAACCTCCAAGTAGTCAATCCTGCACAAGCGCATCGGACCTCATAACCCCCGGCCCGACATGCACTGCGAACCACGATGGAAGTGGCATCCGTCATGCGTCATCGCAGAAGGACAAGATGGCGCAAGATTAAGGAAATACGATTGAACCCGTAATAGCACTCGTCGCAAGCACAGGACGAACAACCATCTTCATGGTACCTGTGAACAGAACCCTAGCACTGCGGTGGCCGACATGGAATGCTGATAGTTTGTCGGATTCAAACGAGTCTTGTTTGCCTAGTTGAAGGGACGACGGGGACGATGCCCGAGCATGCAGGATTTACGCACCGATTAATTCTGTTTTCCCATTCCTAGTGCCGCTACTGCGGGCCGAGAGACTGGACAAGTCGATAGGCAACGCAGCCAAAAAGAACAGCACTTTGCACGTCTCACGCCCACAGCTCAGTGGCAAACTGTCTAGTCCGACGAGGAGCGCTGAAGTTTTGACAGTGTGTTTGCCGCCGTCGATCTTTGAGACAGAGCGAAAGCTGAAAGCCTGTTTGAGGCTTTCTTCGTTTAGGGCTTACGGTTCTTCAGAGTTCTTGCAGCACCTGGTTGATTCATCAGCCTATCCTTTCCTTCCCGCAGTCATCCACAGAGGCATACTCTTCGGACTCATTGAATCATCGGAGGTTCGTTCCACACAGCGACAGGCTTCGGTGATGTCTTTGGCAGATTCAACGAGGGTTCTTACTAGGGTTTGGGTGGGTCTGCATAGGGCTTCAATGGTGGGTAGATTTGGGGTGTCCGGCTGTTTCAACCGGATGCTTACTTACAGAGGGAAACAAATGTCTTTATCTTGACGTTCAAACGCGATTGACTGTTTTTGTGAGAGCATGCTCCACAGACCGGGAGACTATGTCTAGATTCTAGGTAAGATCAGGTTCTTCTCGGTGTGTTCATGAAGCATATTCAGGACACCCACCACTGGATTCAGGAAGGCAGCAGACACATGTCACAAACCTCCCGACAACCTGTCGGAAGTCTTAATGAGTAGCCTGGCATAGAAGTTCATCGATGCCAGACGTGCGTGCCCGGAAGAGCTGGGCTCTTCCGCAAGCTCCACAACAAGCCTCTCTTCGAATTGCTAGACTGCACCCTTTTCCTGCACCCGTCAACCGGGCTTCAGATCTTACTCACGGCGCACGGCCTGGTGCTTGCGGCCACCAGGTTTTGTGGCAGAGGGGTGAGAGCTTTGATCGAAATCATTGGCGCCGTCAAAGACGTGCAGCCAATGACAGAGTGGGCTAGGCACTCAGAGAAGTTAGTTCCTCGAAATCATGGCGCCTGAAGCATGAAAGTATACCGTTTCGGCTAGGGTCTCGTGTTTCTTTGGTTTTGGGGGTTGGGGGCCAGTTTGGGGGAGCCTGCTGAGGTCTCGTGTGGGAGCCTACATTTCATTGCAGGGCTAGTTTAAACATACTTAAGCTTTTTGCCTCAACCATGAGTTGCAAGGTTCCGGAATTGCAGCTGTAGAAGCCGGAAGACCAACTTCCGAAGCAGAAATATTTCAACCAGACTTGCAGATGATCAGTGAAGTCGTAGGGATGTTCCTCATACTGGTCGTAACACAGCAAAGCCCTCTGGCGCGTCAGCTTATTCATTGCCCTTGCTGTGCTGCATGCCCGACTGACTGCATGGATGAATCATGCGAGGTGGTTTTTACAATTTGCCTTCCGTACTTGGGTGATTGTAAGAGGGATCCCTCTACTGAGCCAGAGTGGAGTTTCGGGCTTTAGGGTTTCGGGTAGGTCGTGTCAAGTGGGGCAAGAGGGTAGGTCGTGTCACTCGGGGTAAAACACAGACGTCTGGCCATTTTTAATCCCGGCTCCGCAGACGCCGGCATCCTTGAGCCTGCTTGAACCCTAATATGGCCCCCAGCGAAACCCTTTTAGAAATCTATGCAGAAGCCTACGAGGCTTTAAGACACCTTTTTAAAAAGCCCTTATGGAAACCTTTGAAGCTTTAAGAACCCCGCAGGGTCACGTCAAAATCCCAACGCCCCCAAACCCCTTAAACCCCCTAAGCCCGCTAAACCCCCCGTAAAAAAAAAAAAAACCCTAAACCC